TATGCTTCAGATCAGGCAACAACAGGCCAAGAATTGTGCGCACCGTCAGGATGGCGTTTGCTGGGACAAATGTCAGTTTGTCCCAGCCGGATATAACGCAAAAACTGACGGAGCGCATAGATGATCTGAAGCAGAGAATCGCTGCTTGGGGAAAGCGGATTCGGCGATATACCGAGAGGTCGACACGGTTCAACCAGAATCGTCTCTTCCAGAGTGATCAGAAGAGGCTCTATGAATCATTGGAGCGACCAATGGTAAGTGGAACGGGTCCAGCACCGGATCAGGCCGACACTGTAGCATTCTGGCGCGGCCTGTGGTCAGAGCCCGTAAACCATAGCGAGGGCCCTTGGACGGAAGTTGTGGCGAGTCAGTGTGCGGGTATTACGCCCATGGACCCCGTCATCATAACGCCGGATGACGTAGCTGAGGCGGTTCGTAGGGCCCCGAACTGGAAAAGTCCGGGGCTTGACGGGCTGCATCACTACTGGCTGAAGGGGTTCATGGTGTGTCACTCTGTGCTCGCCCGACAGTTTCAAGAGGCTCTCAACCAGAAGTCGCTCCCAAGCCTCTTCACTACTGGGATCACTCATTTAGTTCCTAAAGACCAGGGTACCACAGACCCGAGCAAATACCGCCCCATCACGTGTCTACCGACCATATACAAGACACTAACATCCATTTTGAGCGCGAGAATCACTTGTCACCTGGACTCAAATCAGGTGATGTCGCGCGCTCAAAATGGATGTCGGGGCGTGGTCGTGGAACCAAGGAACCACTCCTCATTGACGCGGTCATTGGCAAAGTGGTGAAACGCAACCGTCGGAACTTCTCCGCCGCCTGGATAGACTACAGAAAGGCATTCGACTCGGTGCCCCATACATGGCTAAAGAGAGTCCTCGAGCTGTACAAGATAGAATGTACAGTTAGAGACTTCCTCGAGCAGTGTATCGGGCAGTGGAGTACGATCCTTTGTCATCTAGGCGAGCGGATGATGGCTGCGGAGAACCACATAAGGATAAGAAGGGGTATCTTCCAGGGCGATTGTCTGAGTCCAATCTGGTTCTGCCTCTCTCTGAACCCTCTCAGTACCTTACTGGAGGGCTCCGGGAGGGGATTTCAGCTACGGAAAGGAGGGACAAAAGTGACCCACCTTTTCTATATGGATGACCTCAAGTTATTCGCCTCCAGTCGCTCCCATCTTATGGAATTGTTAAACATCACTTGTGAATTTAGCAATTCTATTGGAATGGAGCTGGGAACGGATAAGTGTGCGGTCCTCCATGTTGAAAGGGGACGGGTTGCTAACTCTGAGGGCGTAGACATATCTATGCCCGTCAACTTAAGGACCCTTTCCGAGGCTGAAACATACCGATACCTGGGTATGTCACAAAACATCGGTATCGATGAGACTGGTATGAAACAGTCAGTTTGCGACGTGTTTTATGCACGCTTGACCAAAGTGCTTAACAGCCTTTTGTCCGGTGTGAATAAGGCACACGCATATAACGGCTGGGTCATGCCTGTCCTCATGTATACCTTTGGCATACTCAGGTGGACTCAGACTGAACTTAACGCCCTGGATAGAAAAGTCCGCACTACAATGACGTCCCATAGGATGCATCATCCGAGATCGTCGGTAATGAGGCTGTACTTGCCGCGGAAGCATGGTGGTCGTGGCTTCTTGAGCGCGCTCACCATGCATAATCGCGAAGTGTGCAGCCTCCGTGATTACTTCCTGGCGAGATCGGATGATCCATTCTATAAGGACGTCATTTCTTGTGATAAAGGACTTACCCCTCTATCCTTAGCCAACGAGCAATGGCAAGACCCGGCAGTGCAGAGCATTTCCGACCGGGAGACCGTATGGAAGGAGAAGGAGCTCCACGGGAGGTTCTACAAGGCTCTACATGAGCCTTTCGTAGACACAGTAGCCTCCCTCCACTGGCTACGCTTTGGTGATCTCTTCGGGGGAAACCGAGGGTTTTGTCTGTGCAATACAGGATCAGGTTATTAAGACCAACAACTATCGGAGATACATCCTAAAGGATGGCACCGTCGACATCTGTCGAGCTTGTCGCCATCCCGGTGAGTCACTTAGGCATGTTATCTCCGGTTGTTCGGCGCTTTCTAACTCTGAGTACTTGCACAGGCACAACCTAGTAGCCAGAATTCTACACCAGGAGCTCGCTCTGAAATACGGTCTCGTGGATCGGAAATTGCCGTATTACAAGTACTTGCCGGAAGCCGTGCTCGAAAATGATCGCGCCAGGCTCTATTGGGACCGTGCCATCATCACAGACAGGACTATTCTTGCGAATAAGCCTGATATTGTGCTGATGGACCGGGCACAGTCAAGGATATTTTTGGTCGACATTACCATTCCGTATGACGAGAACCTCGTGAAAGCCGAAACAGACAAGCAAACAAAATATCTGGACCTGGCTCACGAGGTGACCGACATGTGGGGTGGTCTGCCGACCGAAATTATTCCTGTAGTCGTCTCTGCAAACGGGCTAATCCCAGTCAGCCTCTCGGGTCATCTGAGGCGGCTGGGACTACGTGGCGGACCGCTCCAGGTTCAAATGCAGAAGGCGGTGCTCCTCGATACCGCCCGCATCGTCCGCCGGTTTCTTTCCCTTTCCCCCTAACCCTCGGCCGTTTGGTCTCCCCTGCCGAGGGCCTCCATCTGGTTGGGCTTTTATTTATTTATGTACTTTTATATTTATTTTATGTTATTGATATTTATGTATATTTGTCTTTTCATTTTCATTTATAATTATATATTTATAGCACCCAACCAGATGAGAAAACTATATAGATACCCCAAAATAATAATAATAATAATTATTTTATTATTTATTTCTTTCCCTTTTTCTTCCTGGTTTCTTTCCCTTTCCCCCCTAACCCTCGGCCGTTTGGTCTCCCCTGCCGAGGGCCTCCATCTGGTTGGGCTTTTACCTATTTATGTACTTTTATATTTATTTTATGTTATTGATATTTATGTATATTTATCTTTTCATTTTCATTTATAATTATATATTTATAGAACCCAACCAGATGAGAAAACTATATAGATACCCCACAATAATAATAAACAGCCTTTTGTCCGGTGTGAATAAGGCACACGCATATAACGGCTGGGTCATGCCTGTCCTCATGTATACCTTTGGCATACTCAGGTGGACTCAGACTGAACTTAACGCCCTGGATAGAAAAGTCAGCACTACCATAACGTCCTATAGGATGATCATCCGAGATCGTCGGTAATGAGGTTGTACTTGTCGCGGAAGCATGGTGGTCGTGGCTTCTTGAGCGCGCTCACCATGCATAATCGCGAAGTGTGCAGCCTCCGTGATTACTTCCTGGCGAGATCGGATGATCCATTCTATAAGGACGTCATTTCTTGTGATAAAGGACTTACCCCCTCTATCCTTAGCCAACGAGCAATGGAAAGACCCGGCAGTGCAGAGCATTTCCGACCGAGAGACCGTATGGAAGGAGAAGGAGCTCCACGGGAGGTTCTACAAGGCTCTACATGAGCCTTTCGTAGACACAGTAGCCTCCCTCCACTGGCAACGCTTTGGTGATCTCTTCGGGGGAAACCGAGGGTTTTGTCTGTGCAATACAGGATCAGGTTATTAAGACCAACAACTATCGGAGATACATCCTAAAAGATGGCACCGTCGACATCTGTCGAGCTTGTCGCCATCCCGGTGAGTCACTTAGGCATGTTATCTCCGGTTGTTCGGCGCTTTCTAACTCTGAGTACTTGCACAGGCACAACCTAGCAGCCAGAATTCTACACCAGGAGCTCGCTCTGAAATACGGTCTCGTGGACCGGAAATTGCCGTACTACAAGTACTTGCCGGAAGCCGTGCTCGAAAATGATGGCGCCAGGCTCTATTGGGACCGGGCCATCATCACAAACAGGACTATTCTTGCGAATAACCCTGATATTGTGCTGATGGACCGGGCACAGTCAAGGATATTTTTGGTCGACATTACCATTCCGTATGACGAGAACCTCGTGAAAGCCGAAACAGACAAGCAAACAAAATATCTGGACCTGGCTCACGAGGTGTCCGACATGTGGGGTGGTCTGCCGACTGAAATTATTCCTGTAGTCGTCTCTGCAAACGGGCTAATCCCAGTCAGCCTCTCGGGTCATCTGAGGCGGCTGGGACTATGTGGCGGACCGCTCCAGGTTCAAATGCAGAAGGCGGTGCTCCTCGATACCGCCCGCATCGTCCGCCGGTTTCTTTCCCTTTCCCCCTAATCCTCGGCCGTTTGGTCTCCCCTGCCGAGGGCCTTCATCTGGTTGGGCTTTTATTTATTTATGTTCTTTTATATTTATTTTATGTTATTGATATTTATGTATATTTATTTTTTTCATTTTCATTTATAATTATATATTTATAGAACCCAACCAGATGAGAAAACTATATAGATACCCCTAATAATAATAATAATAAGGCGTAGGGAATTGACGACCCCATCGCCCGCTGACGTAACAGTTACGTGACAAAACTGCTACGTCAACGCAGTCAGTCAGCGCCTTGCGAGAGGTGTGAGCGCCGTGCCGCGGCAGAATTTAGGGTGCAAAGGCCCGTTTGTGCTTATGGCTACACACGAAACGGTGCCGGGCCTGGGCGTCTCCCGTTAATGGACGCCCAAGTAATGGATGATGGATAAAAAAGATAGTGCGCAAAGGGCCGCTGCCTGGGGGTCGCCGGGGCGCGTCTGGAGCTGGCGCTGGACGCGGCAGCATGCGGGCCGCCAGCCGAGCGCGAGGAGCTGCACGGTCACCTACCGGCCCTCCGCATCCATCATCCCCACCAGAATGCTTGGTGTCGGCTGGGTCTTCTCGGACTCAGCAAGCGGCACCCGCCACTGGTGGAGCGCGTCGCATGCGTTGGTCACAAGAAATGAATGCAAACGCACTGCGGGCGTACTTTAGGGCAAAAGGGGAAGAAACTGGATGTTTGGCGTATCGGACTAGGATGCATCGTCTTTTTGCTGAGCTGGAGCCATCTTTAACCGTCACAGAGCAAAACCTGGCAGACCGAGTTCGGTATATCTTGCGCTCAAATATATTTGATGTCGCCGAACTCAAACGGCTACGACGTGAGGCTGTTCCGTCGTCGGATGAGAATGCTACGGCTGAGGATGCGGCGCCACAAATGGTAGAGCAACCCGCAAACGTGGATGCCGCCGTGAATACCCCAGTTGTGGTTGATTCGAACGATGATGGAACAGTCGCCCAGGAACTGGAATTAGAGCATATGAGGAGCATATTGGAAGAGGCGATTGTGGAAACGCGCAGTACGCCTCTCGAAAATCGACCGCGACTTCCCCCGCATAGCCCTAACCAAGCGGAATCGGGCTCTCGTGAGGGCTCTGAACCCAATGCTGGTTACCTATTTGGAAGCCAGCCGGGACCTTTGCGAGACGAACTCAATTCTTTTTGGCGCCGCGCTGGCAGTCTGCCGTATCATAGGCGCCAAGGTTTCCACGGCTGGACGCGCTACTGGCCATAGTAGCGCTATCCCAGCATGGAGAAGAAGAATTGAGGAACGTATCGCAAAGGCTAGAGCTCTCATCGGCAGACTGATATGCTTCAGATCAGGCAACAACAGGCCAAGAATTGTGCGCACCGTCAGGATGGCGTTTGCTGGGACAAATGTCAGTTTGTCCCAGCCGGATATAACGGAAAAAAACTGACGGAGCGCATAGACGACCTGAAGCAGAGAATCGCTGCTTGGGGAAAGCGAATTCGGCGATATACCGAGAGGTCGACACGGTTCAACCAGAATCGTCTCTTCCAGAGTGATCAGAAGAGGCTCTATGAATCATTGGAGCGACCAATGGTAAGTGGAACGGGTCCAGCACCGAATCAGGCCGACACTGTAGCATTCTGGCGCGGCCTGTGGTCAGAGCCCGTAAACCATAGCGAGGGCCCTTGGACGGAAGTTGTGGCGAGTCAGTGTGCGGGTATTACGCCCATGGACCCCGTCATCATAACGCCGGATGACGTAGCTGAGGCGGTCCGTAGGGCCCCGAACTGGAAAAGTCCGGGGCTTGACGGGCTGCATCTCTACTGGCTGAAGGGGTTCATGGTGTGTCACTCTGTGCTCGCCCGACAGTTTCAAGAGGCTCTCAAGCAGAAGTCGCTCCCAAGCCTCTTCACTACTGGGATCACTCATTTGGTTCCTAAAGACCAGGGTACCACAGACCCGAGCAAATACCGCCCCATCACGTGTCTATCGACCATATACAAGACACTAACATCCATTTTGAGCGCGAGAATCACTTGTCACCTGGACTCAAATCAGGTGATGTCGCGCGCTCAAAATGGATGTCGGGGCGGTGGTCGTGGAACCAAGGAACCACTCCTTATTGACGCGGTCATTGGCAAAGTGGTGAAACGCAACCGTCGGAACTTCTCCGCCGCCTGGATAGACTACAGAAAGGCATTCGACTCGGTGCCCCATACATGGCTAAAGAGAGTCCTCGAGCTGTACAAGATAGAATGTACAGTTAGAGACTTCCTTGAGCAGTGTATGGGGCAGTGGAGTAAGATCCTTTGTTATCTGGGCGAGCGGATGATGGCTGCGGAGAACCACATAAGGATCAGAAGGGGTATCTTCCAGGGCGATTGTCTGAGTCCAATCTGGTTCTGCCTCTCTCTGAACCCTCCCAGTACCTTACTGGGGGGCTCCGGGAGGGGATTTCAGCTACGGAAAGGAGGGACAAAAGTGACCCACCTTTTCTATATGGATGACCTCAAGTTATTCGCCTCCAGTCGCTCCCATCTTATGGAATTGCTAAACATCACTTGTGAATTTAGCAATTCCATTGGAATGGAGCTGGGGACGGATAAGTGTGCGGTCCTCCATGTTGAAAGGGGAAGGGTTGCTAACTCTGAGGGCGTAGACTTATCTATGCCCGTCAACTTAAGGACCCTTTCCGAGGCTGAAACATACCGATACCTGGGTATGTCACAAAACATCGGTATCGATGAGACTGGTATGAAACAGTCAGTTTGCGACGTGTTTTATGCACGCTTGACCAAAGTGCTTAACAGCCTTTTTGTCCGGTGTGAATAAGGCACACGCATATAACGGCTGGGTCATGCCTGTCCTCATGTATACCTTTGGCATACTCAGGTGGACTCAGACCGAACTTAACGCCCTGGATAGAAAAGTCCGCACTACAATGACGTCCTATAGGATGCATCATCCGAGATCGTCGGTAATGAGGCTGTATTTGCCGCGGAAGCATGGTGGTCGTGGCTTCTTGAGCGCGCTCACCATGCATAATCGCGAAGTGTGCAGCCTCCGTTATTACTTCCTGGCGAGATCGGATGATCCATTCTATAAGGACGTCATTTCTTGTGATAAAGGACTTACCCCTCTATCCTTAGCCAACGAGCAATAGCAAGACCCGGCAGTGCGGAGCATTTCCGACCGGGAGACCGTATGGAAGGAGAAGGAGCTCCACGGGAGGTTCTACAAGGCTCTACATGAGCCTTTCGTAGATACAGTAGCCTCCCTCCACTGGCAACGCTTTGGTGATCTCTTCGGGGAAACCGAGGGTTTTGTCTGTGCAATACAGGATCAGGTTATTAAGACCAACAACTATCGGAGATACATCCTAAAGGATGGCACCGTCGAAGTCTGTCGAGCTTGTCGCCATCCCGGTGAATCACTTAGGCATGTCATCTCCGGTTGTTCGGCGCTTTCTAACTCTGAGTACTTGCACAGGCACAACCTAGTAGCCAGAATTCTACACCAGGAGCTCGCTCTGAAATACGGTCTCGTGGACCGGAAATTGCCGTATTACAAGTACTTGCCGGAAGCCGTGCTCGAAAATGACCGCGCCAGGCTCTACTGGGACCGGGCCATCATCACAGACAGGACTATTCTTGCGAATAAGCCTGATATTGTGCTGATGGACCGGGCACAGTCAAGGATATTTTTGGTCAATATTACCATCCCGTATGACGAGAACCTCGTGAAAGCCGAAACAGATAAGCAATAAAAGTATCTGGACCTGGCTCACGAGGTGACCGACATGTGGGGTGGTATGCCGACCGAAATTATTCCTGTAGTCGTCTCTGCGAATGGGCTAATCCCAGTTAGCCTCTCTGATCATCTGAGGCGACTGGGACTCCGTGACGGACCGCTCCGGGCACAAATGCAGAAGGCGGTGCTCCTTGATACTGCCCGCATCGTCCGCCGGTTTCTTTCCCTTTCCCCCTAACCCTTGGCCGTTTGGTCTCCCCTGTCGAGGGCTTCCATCTGGTTGGGCTTTTATTTATTTATGTATTTTTTGTATTTATTTTATTTTATTGATATTTATGTGTATTTATCATTTCGTTTTCATTTATAATTATATATTTATACATCCCAACCAGATGAGAAAACTATATAGATACCCCACATAATAATAATAAAACTTTATTAGAATAGCTGCTTGGGGAAAACGGATTCGGCGATATACCGAGAGGTGGACACGGTTCAACCAGAATCGTCTCTTCCAGAGTGATCGGAAGAGGCTCTATAAATCATTGGAGCGACCAATAGTAAGTGGAACGGGCCCTGCACCAAATCAGGCCGACACGGTAGCATTCTGGCGCAGCCTGTGGTCAGAGCCCGTAAACCACAACGAGGGCTTTTGGACGTTGTGGCGAGTCAGTGTGCGGGTATTATGCCCATGGACCCCGTCATCATAACGCCGCATGGCTTAGCGGAGGCGGTCCGTAGGGCCCCGAACTGGAAAAGTCCGGGGCTTGACGGGCTGCATCACTACTGGCTGAAGGGGTTCATGGTGTGTCACGCTGTGCTCGCCCGACAGTTTCAAGAGGCTCTCAAGCAGAAGTCGCTCCCAAGCCTCTTCACTACTGGGATCACTCATTTGGTTCCTAAAGATCAGGGTGCCATAGACCTGAGCAAATACCGCCCCATCACGTGTCTACCGACCATATACAAGACACTAACATCCAGTTTGAGCGCGAGAATCGCTCGTCATCTGGACTTAAATCAGGTGATGTCGCGCGCTCAAAATGGATGTCGGGGCGGTGGTCGTGGAACCAAGGAACCACTCCTTATTGACGCGGTCATTGGCAAAGTGGTGAAACGCAACCGTCGGAACTTCTCCGCCGCCTGGATAGACTACAGAAAGGCATTCGACTCGGTGCCCCATACATGGCTAAAGAGAGTCCTCGAGCTGTACAAGATAGAATGTACAGTTAGAGACTTCCTTGAGCAGTGTATGGGGCAGTGAGTAAGATCCTTTGTTATCTGGGCGAGCGGATGATGGC